AGTGAGAAATGATGGGAATTAATGGCAGAACTGAAAACTAGTTCAATAATGAGCTGTTACTAGATTTGAGACACATTATTCATTTGGATTACATTGTTTCCACATGGTATGCTTCTGTGAAACTGTTACCGTGAAAAATACAAAACCACTTGATTGTAGAAAACACTTCTAAAGAGAAAAATGTGAATTGCTAGCAGTAGATGCTTATAATTTTTTTAGAATGTTCTCAAAACCTGGATCAAGAAAGATGAGTCTGGATTAATAAATACATGCACAGTAGTTATTTTACATGGGAATTGAAAACACCTATAGGGCAAAGTCTGCCTAATTAAAGATAGAGTAAGTGAGAATGGGAGAAAGGCTAGAAAATGGGTAACAGCAGTAAAACAACATACAGGAAACCCCCTGATTTTTTGAGTTAATGTAATATTGTGTACACAATGTAAAATTTTTCATGACACTGGGTGGTGATTAAAAAAGCTAGAAAGAGACAAAGTTCATATACTGCATTGTTTTAAGATCTGTCCTTTGACCATTTTTAATTTAGTTATTTTTATTTGAAACTTACCAGTTACTGATGGTATTTTCCAGGGTTCTTTTTTTCCTTGTCTGTCAGTGGTAAATAAGCAGGAACAAGTCATCTTTAAATGTGGCCATTGATTAGCTTTACATCCAAGAAGATGAAAACTGTGGGCTCTATTTAGACAATTGGGGAATCACTTGTAGAAATATGCAGTGGTGGGTGGAGGGGTCATTGTGATGGTATGAGGAACTATATTGTCTGAGAATATGGCAGGATCTGCACATTCGAGGAGAGAGGCTGTCTTGACATCTGTAACTGCGTAGGGATTTGCTGCTGGCGTGCTTTGTTCTGAAGGCTGTTGGGCCAATTCTTGCTTGCTGTAAACTTCATTTGTATTCGCCTTGCTGTATTTTAAAATGCTTTGATTTGAGGCAGTGAGTAGGAGCCTGGGTAATATACTTCAGCCAAGCTCTCTGTTCAGCTGCAGTGAATCCTGATTGTGAAATAGTTTTTTGCTCTGGGTCTCAAACTTGAATATCTTTTGGAACTCAGGTGTTTATCCAGCTATTGCATGTAAACATCTCTTCCATATAAAAAGTGCCTCATATTGTGTTTAAAACTGTCAGTGGGACACTGCTTTCTGTGAGCTGTGATGCATAACCTGCTTTGGATTGCTTTCTGTTTCTGTATTCTGGTGACAGAAATACAAAATGGAAATGAATGTCTGGCACTGAAACTGTGCAGGAAACATCATACCTGAAAACGCATGCAATTTCCTGTGTAGCACCGGCATTTCTGATATTTTCATTGCATGTATAATCCACCCTTCAGCTGAGATTTTCTTCTGAGTCTTTAGGTGTTTTTCTTTCATGCAAGACTGATAGCAGAAGGTTGCAATATGGCTCTTAAGTTTGGGGTTTGTTTTAAATGGTGCTCGGGTTCCTGTTTCTACAGAATGGTATTTTTGTTGTGAAGACCATTAGCTTTATGCATGGGCAGTTCTGAAAATCTCTCATAAATGGTACAATTTATTTAAGCTGATTTTGTGGCAATTCACATCTCACTGTCTAAAGTTCTCTTCCTTGAGCTCAGGTTTGTTTTTTTCTTTAGGTGAGAGAGAGAACTCACTTAGGAAAAGTGGTTTTTTTACAGGAATTCAACATCCTTTAATTGACTACACAGAAATTTGTGTCAGCTACACATGCTGATTTTGTTTTTTTTTAATTTACTTTATGCAACTGTAAGTAACAAAGCTTAGAGCAGTTGCAACAGTAAAGGATTTTATTTTGGGGGGCTTTTTTTTTTTAATTTGGTGGCTTCCCATGTTGAGGCAACTCTGACTTCACTTGGTAATTAAACCTCATTTGTGAAAGATGTTTTCCCTATTAATTTGATCCATTAAAGAAATGCTCTTTGAAGCTGGTAGTTAATCTTCCTATTTAAATTGCTGGGTTTTACTCAGATTGGTTACAGCTTAGCTTTAAGCAGCATCTAAAAATAGCGAACTGTTGTGCTGTACAGTTTAAATATCTATCTATAGTAATAGCCTTTCTAGAAAGGAAATACCTCGTAAGAGGGAGAGGAGACTGCTGCTTGGACAGCACTGGTTGGTACCAGCATTGCACTTTTCCTTGCATTTTGCCCATTGCAAAGTCAGGCAGCACTCTAGCATGTAACACTTGATTCTCTTTCTCCAGGATTAATTTTTAGCAGAAGCACTGTGAGCTCTATTTGAGCAGTGTTTCAGTCAGTACTTAGTAATTCAATACTTTGAGAAGTTTTGACTATTCATGTTGATGTCTGCTGTGAAGCATGCTAAAACCAGGCAAAAAATCTAGAAACTAGCTGAAATATTTTCCAGAACATTAGGCTTTCAGAAAGAAAATACAAGGGAAAGGACTGAAATCACAACTTCTGAGGTTAGCATCTATTTTCATCTCTTGCACTGTCCTTCTGTACATGCCCTTTGTGATTCACACAAGCCTGACAAACCTGAAGACTTTAAGTGTGCAGCATTATTGCCAAAGCCTGGGGTTTTTAACTTAAAAGTGTCGGCAGTTGAAAAGGAAGCCGTGACAAAACTGCAGGCATGTAGACAGATGGAAATTGATTACTTCCAGTAATTCCTCCTTGAGTTTCTACTGTAGGACAAACATTCTGCAGGTGAAGGGATCTTGAATGAGTAGCTGACAAAGAAAAATCAGAAGTATAAAGGTGAATCTGCCTAAGGCAGCATAATTGATTGTGTTACCTTTGTCAGTGAAATCTGTGGTCCAAGAAAGAGGACAGAGAGAATCCAGCTGTTTTTTTCGCCTCTACACTTACCTTTTCTCTTGGTGGAAAACTATTTTAAGCCTATCTTCAGTACGAAATGTTTAATCAATCAGATTATATAGCTAAAATACACTTTCAGTATTGTTGAAGGTCTGACTTACTGTAATGGCTGTTTCCGGATATACCTGTATGTCAGGAGCCTCAAGCTTCTCAGACCAAGATATCCATGACTAGAGCAAGAACATCTGTTGTCATGGGGAAATTGAATGTGAAGAAATCTGCGAGATGGGAAATATTATCAGATGTTTTAGGCTATCCTTCTGAGGAACATGAGTTTATGCTCACAGAAACTGATAGAACTATTGTATGTCTGGAATTTTTTACAACTGTAATACCCATAAATTAGTTTTCCAAAGATCTCCATTACTATTATGTGGATTTATTAATGTTTATCATTACATAGGAATAGTATTTCTGTGATCTTGTAGCCTGATTTTTGCCACCAAAGGATAAATCCTATTCTTAGCTCTTACAAAACTTACAACTCTGAAAAACAAGTTTTTAGCACTTCCTTCTGCTGGCAGTGGCAGCAGGTAGGAGGAGAGGATGGTGGGGCTGTGGATGGGTGGGGATTCTGTACAGTCTTACAAAGTTAGAAAAAATGAAGATAATTGTAGAAGAGGTTCTGATGGCTTGCTTTGTCTTTATCACAGCTCACTAAATGTATTCCGTGTTTTGAGCCATTCATGCTTCCAGTGTCAGTCTTAATAGTATTGTTGCTTGCATGTTTCTGCACAAACTAAGCAGGTGTTTGGCTACTGGGGGAAGCACATCAGGTAAAGGACTGAAAATGTGTTCTTTTGGGTATATATTTGGCTTCTTAGATTGCATCTGGTGCATTATTTCCCAGGCAATATCAGCTTGTGAATTGCTTTCCTTTATTATTTGTGGTACCTTTCACAAGATGAGTGCTAATTAAAAGGTGCTTTTTCACAGATCTGCAGACTGAGATGTGAATTTGGCAGGGGTAGTATATGATTTTTAAGTACAGTGAAATTTTGAAAAAGTAATTCCTAAACTGTTGGTAGTAAATAATGCAGTGGCTTATTTTTCTGTCTTTTCCAGCTAGTGACACTTAATCTCTTTGATAACATTAAAAATCATGCAACTTTGAATTATAAAATCAATGTTTATAGGCATAAGTTTTACCACTTTCATGTAAGTCAATGGGAAAAGGGGAATCTTACAGATTAGTGCAACTGCGTTTTATATCACAGGTGTACGCAAAATGAAGATAGGGTGCCTTCAGAAGACATAAATGTATAAAAAGAAAAATGGACAATACTATATGCTTTTTTATTATCTATTTAAAAATAAAAGCACACTTAACTGCAGTGGCATAATTTCTCTGGGGACCAAAGCAGCATTGAATTCTAGTTCAAATGTAAGAAAAATTTGGAGCTCCTGTCTCGGAATGCTTAGTTCAAAACTCACATGACAGATGCACAAGACAAACATGAACCAATGTGGGTACTGGGAAAAGGGAATCGTCTGTGTTACCAACTGACAGAGTCCCAGTTGTTTCAGTGCTTGCTGTTAGTTGAACTGTCCTTTACTTCATGTGTCCTAGGGGAGGCGAATCTAACAGAGGCAATGGAAGGAGCATGAGGCAACTTTCTTAACAGCTGGAGTTTTCTAGTATAGAGGAGACTGTGGAAGGGACTATACTGGAGAGCTGGGAAAGGAGACTTTTTGGATTACTCAAAAAGCAGGACACCTCATGTTAAATCAATATCCTTGCTTATCTGACCTGTTAGGTGGGTTTTGTAAGGATGGTAGAAAGGGAAGAACTTGGAGAGTATACGCAATACTACTGGAGCATGGAGCTGGAAATTACTTATGTTAGTATTTTGAATGGACTTAGGAAGGAGGAGGGAAGCAGGATTTGGAGGCTAGAGAGGCAGCAGTCAAGGTACAAGGTAAGCACTTCAGGCATGGTTCTGAGTACATAGCTGTTTGAAGAACTGATCTTGTTGAAGACTCTGGGTTGGGATTTAATTCTGACAGAACTCTATACACAGAATTATATTTACACTTTTAAATGGAGGTTTAAAATTGTTCAACTTTGATAACTGGTTAATTAGCTACTGGGCAGCTTAGTTTCAAATTTAACTTGCCCAGAGAACTCTGTTTCATATATTAACCCCAAACTTTGTTTATATAGGATTAGCTCAGAACGCAGAAAAGAGAAGTCAAGAGATGCAGCCCGGTGCCGAAGGAGCAAGGAATCAGAAGTATTCTATGAGCTTGCTCATCAGCTGCCCCTGCCCCACACCGTGAGCGCACACCTGGACAAGGCGTCCATTATGAGACTGACCATCAGCTACTTGCGCATGAGAAAGCTGCTAGATGCTGGTGAGTGAAGAACGTAGCAGAATCTGGAAAAAGGGGCTGGAGGTTAATTGAGGAAGAAGCTGTTTCTCAAACCTATCAGCAGTTAAATACATGAATCGTTGCATACTTTCTGTGGAAAAGTGGAAGACCTGACAATAGAAATAGGCTATTGGTGATGACACAGGAAAAACATGGCTACTGTTCAACAGACTTTGTTTTTCCCTTTCTAATCTGATGATCCTAGTTGGCTCATCACAGCCATAGTGCCATTTTCAGTCTCATTTGCCCCTTCTCCCAAATTTACTTTCTTTCAGTTAACCCTCTTTTCCCCTGAGAGCTGTTTGTTCCAACTGTGCTTTATTAAAATATAGGTGGTTGGTGCAAGGCTGGCGTGGCTAACTGTAGGTGTTTCTCCTTAATATAAACTGCAAGGAGTTTTGTTGTAATTTATACTTCACTGAAGGTGAAGTTAGCTGAGGATATGTCTGTGTCTGCAGTTGCACTACCCATGCAGCTGCAGGAGTATCTGAGGTAGCTTATGAACCAGTGTCTGTACAGCATGCCATGAATGCTGTACTGGTTATTTGTACTCACGTATGCCTATCTATACCATATGGAGGAATGACTGTGGTAGCTTTATTCTGAAATTTCTCTCAGGAAGCCCCTGAGAAAAGTTTATAGTGCCTTTTTGAGATAAATGGTAGTATTTTTGCTATGTAGACTTCTTCCTTAAGGTGGAAGTTTTATTGCTTTAGACATGAAAGCACAGAGGGTTAACCTCACTGATTTTTCTGTGATTTGTGATACCATTACTAGAGCTTGAAGAATTTAACTGATCACTTATCTAAGTGAATTATACTGGTTTTGAACAGTCCTGCAAGATTGAGTCCTTGCAGACTGGTGCCAGAAGTTACTCCTGATGGTAAGTGAAGAATGGCAGATGTTTACTAAACAAAAATGTATGACTGCTTGTAGGTGAGCTGGAGACAGAGGCCAAAATGGAGAAGGAACTGAACTGTTTCTACTTGAAAGCTCTTGATGGATTTGTCATGGTTCTATCCGAGGATGGGGACATGATTTACATGTCTGAAAACGTGAACAAGTGTATGGGACTCACTCAGGTGAAACACTGACACTTTCTAAGACTGTTTCAAATCTGTAAAAGTTGTTACATTTTTGTGTACGTAAACTTAGACACCCATATACCTTTTATTTTTTGCAGTTTGAGTTGACGGGGCATAGTGTATTTGATTTCACTCATCCATGTGATCATGAAGAGCTGAGAGAAATGCTTACACACAGAAATGGTGAGAGAGAAAAAATTGATTTAATTTACTTAAGGGTAGTTCGTGTTGACATTAGTACAGTTGGATATCTGCCAGAAGAAGGTGTTGAGAGAACAAACTAGTATGTTTCACTGCTTGAATCTCAAAATAAACCTTGTTCAGAGATACTAACAACAGAAACAACCAGAATGTTTTGTCAATATCCTAATTATAAAATGGATGAGACTTTGTTAGTATTCTTTAATCTAAAACAAAATTAATGATTGAAATAGTTATTGAGGGTTGAAAGAATTAGCATGCCTACAGGAATAAAATTAGAGATAGGTTGAATGAGAATGATCTCAAGCAATTGGAATAGAAGGATATGGAGAAGTTAAGTTGTATTTGACTTGCCTTTACAGGACAACTTAAAACCATATGCTTTCTTCCCAAAATCTGTGATGGTATTCTTAAGACACAAAAAGATACTATATTGAGGATACTGAAAAACTATTCGGGGAATACTTGGGACAGTCTGAAAAAGGGCTTTGGTATTGATGCTTCTCTGCACCTTTTAATTGGTGCATGAAATTGGTATCTTTCACAGATTTCTAACTCTTCCTTTTTCCATCTGAGGGAGTAGAACACTGTGTTCACATGTTCTGTATGCTTTTGAATGTTACAAATGCCCATAAATTGCTGCTTTTATGTCTTCTAAAGGTTTCTTAATGACTATAAAGACTTGGCAGCCTGCGTACCTCCAAACAAATCTGCTTGACTCAGTTGTTAGAAATCTAAAATCTGACCTTTCTTAATTTCTGTTTCATCAAACAAGGTTTATATGGACTCTGAATCTAGACAGTGATAAAATACCAAGCCTGACCTCTGCTTTTGTGTAGCACTGTAAATCAGAAGTCTTTTATGTTGTCATGATATTTAATTCAATGGAAGAGACCTGATAAGATATCATAGACCAACTTTGATTTTGTAAGCATTTTCTAAACTTGTCTGCCCTTAGTATTGAATTGTGTTTCTAAGGTTAAATTAGACGACTCCCCCCCCC